TAAATCGGGTCTCCCCCGTTACCCTCGAATGTTTTCTGACCCCTCCATGTGATATTTTGGTTTTAATTGTCTTATTAACTCGCTTGATTTTTATGTCGATCTGCACATATATATATATATATATACATATTCACATACATCCGTAATTACAAGGCTTCTTAGTTGTCAATATCTCACTGTTTGAACTCACTAGGCGTAAGCCTAACGCCTCCTCTTATTATGGTTTGTTTATCAAGATCCCTTAGCGGCGGGGCAATCAAGGGGTGAGAGGAGCGTTGTTTTGTAAAAGGCTCTTTTGTATTTACAGCCTTCGTTATTTTTGAGCGTTGCTTTGGTGTCGTCATTTTGGAGAGAGATAAAACACCCGTCATTAATCTGGAATATAGAATAATCTAGATTAGTAGGTTGTTATTTATCTTCTCAGTATCAGATTTTGTAAACGCTACATTACTAGAACTTGTTGGGTAACTCTCTTTTAATTCAAGTTTCCGGTACTCGTTATTTATTTTCCGGAGTATTTTTATGGATGTTACAAGTTGGTATCAGAGCACTAGCTTAAGTGAACTAGGTGAGGGATCATGACGTCTAGACTTAAGCTGAGATCTTAAGTTTTAATTGTGAGACGTGGGTAGAAACTTTTAAGATAGGAGAACTTTAGGGTCATCGGAGTTACCCCGTTCATGAGTTGTGACGATGGTGTTAAGAATTCTTATGTATAACCTATTCAAAATTTCACTTAGCTAATGCTATTTTGAGTAGGTTGTTACACAAGCGTGCTTGAACTTACTGTTATTACAAGGACTTATGAATGTTTCGGTAAGTATTACGTTGATTTTATGTCCCATCCTATCTTAATTCTCTCTCACTTTCTTGTATGACAGTTTTGATGGTGAATACTCGAAGTAGACGGGATACCTCTCCGGAAGGCCTTGGGATAACTGAATCTACAGTGGACCAACCACCTCAAACCACCATCGCAAAGTTTCCCCCTAGGCAAAGCACCTTGGGCGGTGGAGAGGACCACGTTCCCCAAGTCGACCTTGCCACCTCTAACCCAATAATAGAAGAAGAAACCCCGGAATCAAGAATGATGGGAACGATGATGAACGCTATGAATAGAGCGATGGCCCAGCAACAAAAGTTCTTTATGAAGTTGTTGGAGGATAGAGATGTCAGCAATCGTAAACATGAAGCAGTTACAGAGAACGTAACTATAGTAGGATCTGGGGGTACCGGAAACGGAATCCCAACCCAGGAGTTAGCGACGATTGAAGCAAGGCAGGTGAGTAAAGGTTGCTCCTACAAGACGTTTCTGAGTTGCAAGCCGCCAGAATTTGTAGGGTCAGATAATCCAATAGCGTGCATGAACTGGCTTCGGGAGATCGAACAAGCTTTCCGGGCTTGTGACTGTGTCGAGAGTTAAAAGGCAAAATTTGGCTCTCAAATGCTAAGAGGTGCAGCCCTTACCTGGTGGAACATCGTCATATCAACCATAGAGGTTGCAGATTTGGCCAAGATGAGTTGGGCCACGTTTAAGAAGAAGGTACTGGAAGAATTTTGCAACGAACAAGAGATGGACCGCATTGAAGAAGACTTCCGAACCCTCAAGAAAGGAAACTTGTCAGTAAGGGACTACACGCGACATTTTATGGAAAAGTTGAACTTAGTGGGGCACGTGGCCCCAACAGAGAAGGAAAGGATAAAGGCTTATCTCAAGGGGTTGCCTGCGGACATGATGATTATGGTTAGAAACTCCAGAGCCTCCACCCTAAGGGAGGCAATTGAAGAGGCCAAGATCATGGAAACGGTTTACGCTAGAGGAAGAGAGGAGAAAGTGGCAGGTGGTGAGAAAAGAAAGTGGGAAGGACATTATACACCTTCCAAGAGACCGAATCATTCCAGCAACAACAATCGGGGAGGTTATCCTAGACAAGAAGCTAAGTGGTGTTCCAAATGTCGTACTAAACACCATGGCCCATGTACTACCAACTCTACTCCTACAAAATGTTTTAAATGCGGAAAGCCTGGCCACTCGCGAAATGAGTGTCCTATCAAAGGATCCATCTGTTTTGGTTGCGGAGAACCGGGTCATATCATGAATGCCTGTCCGAAGACGAAGTTGGGGGGAAGCCAGGGAAGGAAGGAAAATATCCCGAGAGCGGCCGGCCGAGCCTTTTAGATGACGGTCGAGGAAGCCAAGGCATCAATGGATGTAGTGTCGGGTACGTTCCTTGTTAACTTCGTACCTGCTCACATACTTTTTGATTCGGGTGCTTCATGTTCCTTTGTGTCCACTGCTTTCTATCATCACTTGCATACGCCACCTAGTACACTAAAAGATGCATTAATCATAGAGATAGCCAATGGTAGTCAAGTTTTGGTGCGCGAAATTGTTAGAGGTTGTGTTTTGGGGATTGAAGGAAAGGAATTTCTAGTGGACCTGATACCCATGACTATAGGCGGATTCGATATCATAATCGGGATGAATTGGCTAGTCGAGAACCAAGCGGAAATCTTATGCTCTAAAAAGCTGATCCGGATACCTTTGACGAACGAAAACGCAATGCTAATTTATGGGGAAGGAAGGAAAGGGAATGCAATACTTTTATCCATGGCGAAGGCACGTAGGTGCCTAGCTAAGGGATGCTCCTCATTCATTGCATATGTGTTGGACACCAAACTAGAGATAAGGAAAATTGAAAACGTGAAAGTGGTTAGAGAATTTCCCGACGTGTTTCCAGAAGACTTACCTGGTTTACCACCCGTTAGACAAGTGGAGTTCCAAATAGACCTTATTCCGGGAGCCGCTCCAATTGCTAAAGCACCTTACCGTCTGGCCCCTTCCGAGATGCAGGAATTGATGTCTCAGTTGCAAGACCTTCTTGAGAAAGGATTCGTTAGACCGAGTTCGTCTCCTTGGGTAGCTCCGGTCTTGTTTGTTAAGAAGAAGGACGGGTACCATGAGGATGTGTATTGACTACCAAGGACTCAACAAGGCAACTGTAAAGAACAAGTATCCTCTTCCCAGGATCGACGATCTTTTTGACCAGTTTCAGGGAGCAAGTTGCTTCTCGAAGGTCGATCTTCGCTCGGGGTACCACCAAGTACGTGTGAAAGAAGACGATGTGGCAAAGACAGCTTTTAGGACGCGATATGGGCACTACGAATTCTTAGTCATGCCTTTCGGCTTGACGAATGCTCCAGCAGTATTCATGGACTTGATGAATCGGGTCTGCCGATCGTTCCTCAACAAATCTGTAATTGTATTCATTGACGACATACTTATTTACTCCAAGAACGAAACGGATCATGAGCAACACCTTTGGGAAGTCCTCGAAATGCTGAGAAAGAATAAGTTGTATGCAAAATTCTCCAAGTGTAACTTTTGGTTGAAGGAAGTTCAATTTTTAGGACATATTGTCACTCGAGACGAGGTGAAGGTAGACCCATCCAAGATTGAGGCGATGATGAACTGGGAACCACCAAAGAGTCCTTCAGAAATCCGTAGCTTTTTGGGTCTGGCAGGATATTACAGGAGATTTATCCAGGATTTCTCCAAAGTTGCTTCCTCCTTAACAGCTTTGACTAGAAAGAATGTGAAGTTTGTCTGGATGGAGAAGCAAGAGCATGCTTTCAGAACTCTCCAAAAGAAGCTGTGTGAAGCCCCGATTCTCTCCCTGCCGAAGGGCTCCGAAGACTTTTTGGTCTTTAGCGACGTTTCGAAGATGGGGTTGGGTTGTGTCTTGATGCAAGGGAAAAAGTAATTGCCTACGCCTCAACACAACTCAAAGATCATGAGAAGAACTATCCCACCCACGACTTGAAGTTAGCGGCGATGGTGTTCGCCTTAAAGCTTTGGCGCCATTATCTTTATGGTACCAAGTGCATGCTTTTTACAGATCACAAGAGTTTAAAGTACATCTTCGATCAAAAAGAACTAAACATGAGGCAAAGACGTTGGCTCGAGCTGCTCAAGGACTACGATTGTGAATTGCTATACCATCCGGGTAAGGCAAATGTAGTGGCGGATGCTTTAAGTCGAAAAGAGTACGGTAGTGGGACAAAAGTTGTGCTCACCATAATCGATGTAATGTCCAGCCTGATCGACCGGATCAAAGTAGCGCAATCTGAGGCGCTCCTGAAAGAAAACCTCAAGAGTGAAGTAATGATGAAGCAATGCATGCTGTTGTCAGAGGATGGCCGCGGCTTGAGACTTTTTTTAGGGCGTATATGGGTACCCAAGATCGGAGGTAATCGCGAACCGTTACTAGAAGACGCACACAAGTCTAAATACTCAATTCATCCAGGCAGCACCAAGATGTATCGGGATTTGAAATTGACTTATTGGTGGCCAGTTATGAAGCTAGATGTGGCTCGTTATGTAAAGAAGTGTGTGACTTGTTTGCAAGTGAAAGCGGAGCACCAACGACCTTATGGTAGCCTTCAATCCTTGGAGATTCCCGAATGGAAATGGGAGCATATTACAATGGACTTCGTGACCAAACTGCCGAAGACCTTAAGAAGCAATGATACGATTTGGGTAGTGGTTGATCGACTAACAAAGAGTGCGTACTTCTTAGCAATGCGTGAAACGTTGCCTATGGAGAAGCTGGCCAAATTGTACATCGACGAAGTTGTCTCACGACATGGTATACCTTTGTCCATAGTGTCAGATCGAGATAGCCGATTCACTTCCCATTTTTGGAGTGGCTTGCAGAAAGAGTTGGGCACGAGAGTGAAGCTGAGTACAACTTACCACCCTCAAACGGATGGCCAGAGTGAGCGGACCATTCAAACACTCGAGGATATGCTTAGATCGTGTGTCATTGATTTTGGCGGGAGTTGGGATTCTCACCTACCACTAGTGGAGTTCGCCTACAACAACAGTTATCATTCCAGCATAGGGATGGCAAATTTTGAGGCTTTATATGGTCGAAAATGTAGGACCCCTGTTTGTTGGCTTGAAGTGGGTGAGAAACAATTCACCGGCAACGAAATCATACAAGAAACTGCCGATAAGGTGAAAGGTATCCGAGAACGTTTAAAGGCGGCACAGGATCGACAGAAGAGCTACTCAGACAAGAAAAGCCGACCGGTAGAATTTCAAGTGGGCGACCGCGTAATGCTAAAGGTATCACCATGGAAGGGAATTATCCGCTTTGGAAAGCGTGGAAAGCGTGGAAAGCTGAGCCCCCGTTTCCTTGGACCGTTTAAAGTCTTGGCTAGGGTGGGACTTCAGGCTTACAAATTAGAACTACCACCAGAAATGGCCGGAATTCATAACACGTTCCATGTGTGCTATCTTCGTAAGTGCTTAGCGGAAGAAGAAAGTATTATTCCACTTTCAGAAATTTTTGTGGACAAAGCCAACCGGTGCGTTGAAGAACCAGAGGCCATCCTGGAAAGGAAGATTAAGGTGCTGAGACACAAGGAAATTGTCATGGTTAAAGTACAATGGAAACATCACTGAGGGTCAAACGTAACGTGGGAAGCGGAAGAGGATTTGAAGAGGCGCTACCCTCACCTTTTCAATTAGACAGAATTTCGAGGGCGAAATTGAACTCAAGGTGGGAAGGATTGTAACACCCGAAAAAAAAATCTTTTCTTTTCCTTCCTCTTTCTCCGAGCGCATCAAGGAGTTTCGTCCCGTGCAGAGGTACGCGTTTTTAACCCACGTACTTAGAGCTTTAGTTACATTTAATTTCTTKAAATTCCTCCTCATTAGTATTTTTCTGCCTAGTTATTTTATATAGGTATTTTTTTATTTATAGATTAACCTTAGGTACATTCCTTTTGGAATTTGCAGTCGAGTAGAGGAGTTGGGGGGGGTACTTGCCACCTATTAGGTTGTCCCATCTCCTTGGTACTATGGGTAATGAAGACATCTCTTCCCTAGACGACCCTCCTCTTCCATAATGGTCTTAAACCTTTAGTTTATTTTGAGAGAGTGATGTCTTTAGAAGGAAGGGAAGGATGGAGACAGAGGGAGAAAAACTGGTTCTGTCTCTTTCCCTTGGACTCAAGGCAAGACCCCAACCCCCAAGCTTGCTTCACCCCCTTCTCCTTGCATCCTATTCGGTACCTGGCAGCAGAAGGTGGCGCCGTTCTTCACCCTTCGAAAACAGCAACATCAGCAAGTGATCTGGCAGCTGCGTTCCCTACCTTGCGGCTTTCTTCGTGCAACAAACAGCAGCCACAAGGGGGCTGGTTCTGGTCTGTTTTTGCCAAAACAGCCACGGCTGTGACCCGTCTTCATCTCTGCGTCGAACAAGCAGCAGCCCGGCTGAGCCATTCCCGAGCCACTTCGTGCAAAAACAGCAACAGCACCCTTCCTTCCCCATCGCCTGCGTGTTTTAGAACCATTCTTGGCAGCAGCAGCAGTCGCAGTTGTGCCCTCTCGACCTCTGCAGCCAGCGGACAGCAAACAACAACAGCACCACGGCTGTACTGTTTTGTTCTTCTTTCCTTGGCTGCGCTCGGTACTCAATCGGCAGACAACAAACAGCACCTTACGGTGTTGCCTTTTCGTTGCGTTCCCTACCCGGTCTTCTTTCAGCAGACACGGTCATGCCTTGGCGACACCAGTCGTTGCAGCTCGGCCTTTTTCGTCTTCACTGYGTTCATCTGTTTAAGCCCGTAAAGACTAGGATTTCTTCTAAATCCTACAGGTGAGTTCACTCCCTTTTATGAGAACATGCATCTTTATAGTGGTGTGCCTCACACACACACACACACATATATATATATATATATCCTAAAATGTTGTAAATCTTACTTGATTAAATGAAAAGGATGCTTTAGGTGAGAAAAGGTATAAATATATGGATTCCAGTGGATTTACTTGGTTAAATCTAGGCCTGGAA